TTCTTCTTCTTCTTCTTCTTCTTCTTCTTCTTCTTCTTCTTCTTCTTTTGATAAATGTCCTCTTTAAATTTGCACAGTCACTTCCACTGTTTCGTTTCTCCTTTCTATTTTGGCTTCTTCTTCTTCTTGCTCCTTTATTCTTTTTCTCCACACAGTCCTAGTTCAACTTATAAATCTTAGTTATCTTATTTCTTCCTTTTTTCTTTATCACAGTTATCAGACAAATATAGCAATTATAAGGTTTCTTCCCTCAATCCTTTCCTTAACTCTTTTAAAGTGTCAATTGTCCTCTTTTCAAGTTTTTACTCTCAGCTGTTCTTCCGATCTCTCTGTCTCACTTGGACATGTCACTGTCACTTTCTCTTTCTCCCCACAATTCTCAAGTGTCAATCGCCAAAAAATATAGTTATACAACCCCCTTTTCAACTCCCAAAGTAAAAGTAAACGGTGTTGTCTCACCCTTCAGCTCCTCCGTTTTCAGCACTCCATTACTCAGCATAAATTACTGCCGTTTCTTTAGTTAGTACTCCTTCCGATATTCCTGCCGCTTCGCTGCACTGTTCGGTTTGGAGTTTCAATTTTCAATTTCCCTTTGTTGTATAAATCAGTATTCTGGAAATCTTCTTTAAGTTCACCTTTCCACTACTCAATTTGCTGTTCTCCACTCTTTGCTTCCTTCCTTCTTCTTTAAGCTGCTGGGCTGCCACGTCTATGGTTCCGATCTGTACGATCTCCCTCTTCTGCTGCTGGTTTTCAGGGGATTCTCTTGTAATCTCCGAGATCGCGGCACCTCCCCAAGATCTCCACGTCTTCCCCTTTCGTCTGTCTACCCCTCCGAGGTCCGACACGCTCCTGAAAGCCACCAAACAGCGAAAATCGGAGCCTTTCAGAGCGGCGATCCGCTCCTCAGCTCCACATAAACACAGCACCCAGCTGGAAGCCGTTCTATTCGTTTTTCAACTTCTTTTATTGTATGTTCATTCTTTTCTAGGGCCTGCTGGATTGAACTGACTTTCTCATCTAATTTTGATATGTCTGATTTCATTTTGCTTTTTAGTTTTCCCATTTCTTCTTTGACTTTGTTTATATCTGCTCTCATTTCAGTATGGTTCTTCATCATCGTTTCCTTGAGCTTTAACATCGATTCCTGTAGTGTTAGTAATGTAGTTTGTATATTGATATTTGAAGCTGGACTCTGTTTCTCTAATGCTAGCATCCCTTCCATGTTTTTTTGTGTCAGGGGTGAAGCTACCGTCGTTGAAGTTGTTGGCACCGATGTGGTCTTTTTGCCAGTCTTCACCATTGTAGTAGTAATGCTTGTCATTTCTTTTAATGTTTCAGTCTGTTTCCTTAAAATACTATCAATGTTATCCCAAATCAGCATCAATTGATATAAACTACTAACTTCAAGAGATTATCAATATTATACTATACTTCTAATAACTGTAATTCCTAGAACTCTCAATTTTCCTATTTAAAGTCTTTTTAGGGAAATTATAAGCTTATATAGATTTGTATACAATATAGACTATGAAATACTTATTCAAATGATTACAATTATCCCCAATTCTTCCACAGTTATCAACAACAATTATCCCTAGTAATAATTTTAAATAATAAATTTATCCAACAATATGTATGTAAATATATGAATATATAAATTTTAACATTAATATTAATGTAAATATAAACTATAAATATAGTAAATATAGGTGTATATATAGGTATACATATAGGTACAACTATCCCCCCTATTAATATTTTTAAATAAGAAATATATCTGAATGTATAAATGTATGTAAAAATATAAATATAAATATAGACTATAGATACGATAGGTATAAATACAATGAATTAAATACAATTAAATTAAATACAATGCAGACTAATATAGGTATTTAAACTCTAAGTCTCTAATCAGGTATTACTAGCTTTATCTACCCTTAACTTCTATAAAGTATTTTTCTAAATAGCACTCTGTTAGTAAATTTATGTAAATATAAACACTTATTTCAGTAGATCTTGAAATCAGCTGTAATTAAGAAAGAAAAAAAAGAAGAATCAATAGTTCAATAATTCATCAGATATTGCACTCCTCACAATCACTTTCCACCAGTTCAGTTCTCTTATCTTGAAGGCAACTTGCTGAGTGTAGGTAACTGCCAACAATATGGCACACCGATCTTGGCTGGAGACTCTGACCTTCCTCTGTTCTATTAAAAGTAAAAAGGTTTTTCCCCTCAGATTCTGATCTGTGCTATTTTTGAGTAAAGATTTTTCCTCAGGAAACTAACACACATTCAACTATATGCTTGACATCACCCACCTGCACGCTTTCAAAACGTACTTGTATTAGCCAATTAGCACATTGTTACTAGGCTGCTATCCCTGGGGTAAACCAATCATTGGACTTGTATGTATAAGCACACTGCTACATTTAGAGTATAATAATAAAACACGGTTGACCGAGAAAAGGAGAACTTCTTGACTTGGGAGATGCTTGACTCAGGAATCATGTGTATGGGACTTCCGGTTTGAAGGGCTTCTGCTCCCCGATCACTCTCCAATCGTTCTCACCTCCGCCCATTCGCTGCGCTTCCGGAGCTCCGATCTGCCTTCTGCCTCTTTCGCCCTCCGCAACTTACGAACCTTCTTCTAAGCTGTCTCTGTTTGCCACGATCACTCTCTGCACCGTCCGGTTTAATCTCTGCCACACCCTGCGGTCTTCAAACCTTGCTTCCTCCTTCAGCTGGGCTATCAGGACTTCAGGGCTGCCATTCAGAGATGGCGGCCTCTTGCGTGCTAGGCTCAAAGGGTTTCTCTTCGTTGTGGGGGCGGTCACCTTCCACTGCTCTGTTTCTCGAGTTTCCTCAGGCCGTCACGAGTCTCTTCAGGATCCGTGTACCCCACAGGGTCGCTCCAGCACCAAGAAAAAGGGGTGAAGAACAGAGCTCGTTCTTCGTCGCCTCTTTTCGTCCCGACGTCATCACCGGAAGTCCAAATACATGGTTATTTTCAAAGACATTATATAAGAAATGCTTTATTGTTAACATTGGAGAAAACTAGAGAACAAGACTATCTGAAGATTCCAGTCTGGCTTTCGACAATGGAAGCACTTGTACATCCAAATGTTATTAAAATGGGAAATATTGTTAGATACAAAGATATTTTGAATGAAAAGGGTGAGCTCAAAACTAAACAAGAATTGAATGAACAAGGGTTTGATATGCTTTGGTATTCATATATGGAAATACAGTCTAGATATGAAAAAGATGTCAAAATAGAAGGTTTCTACAAAGAATTGACAGAATTGGATAAAATATTAACAGGAACAGAAGAAAAATTGATTAAGAAATTGTATAGTTACCTACTGGGTGTCAAGTTAGAAGAACAAGTAAAGGAGATGATGGGCAAAAAAATTTGGCCATGCTATGGAATTAGACAAACTGAGTATTATATGATATGGGATTTATTTTATCAATGGTTGGAAAATAAAGATGGATAACAATAAGATATATTAGATATGGTAATAAAATAAGAATATAGTTATTGATATTACAGTAAGAAATTTGGATTAATTACAATTGTAATGATTATTGCACAATATATTTGTACCCAGTTGACACACTATTTTAAATGGAATATGGATTTGTTGTAAAAAATAAAATAAAAATTTATACCGAAAAAAAACAACCTCCCAGAATTCCCCACCCAGCATATGCTGGGAATTGAAGTCCATGTCTTAAAAGTGGCCAAGGTCTTTGATTCTCCAAGTCAAAAAGAGCTGAGAAAAATCCTCCACTTTAATTCTGCTCAATATATCACATGGAACTCAGATTTAGGAATTTAGGAGGAGGACTTCATGTGTTCATCTCCCAAGAGGTTATTTCACATGTACACATCTTTATAAGAAATCCCATAATGCAGTGTTTCCCAACTTTCGCCATTGTATGATCTGTGGACTTCAATTCCCAGAATTCTCCACTGCTGACTGGAGTATTGTGGGAGCTGAACTCCACACGTCTTAAAATGGCTAAGCTTGGGAAACATTGCTCTAACTTCCAAGCTTCTGCTCCTTGAAGGACCAGCTAGCCTTCCTCAACTTGATTCCTGCCAATTATCAACTTCATTGATCAACTGAATTGATTTTTCTGGCTCAATTTTTGTACAACATGTTTGAATGCGGAATGACCATTTTTTTGAGGGCTCTGGACAGACTCTCTGGGGTGCTGTCCTTGGTGCTGAAGTTTGGCGATGGGTATGCGTCCCACCCCTATAACCGCTCGGCACAACAAACCCTTTACGACGTACTTGTTTCTGTTCCTCTCCCAAGCTGTCCCACATCGAGGCAACAATCTTAGACACCTCCCCGAAGGTGGCTTTGGGGTTCTGCCCTTTAATGGCCGCCTGGGTGTCCCGAAAGAAGAGGGCATAGGCAGAGACGGGCTTCTGAGGCTCATTGGGGTCCTTCTTTTTCTTCTGCTTCTTGGGTGCTTTCTGCTTCTTCCCGACGTCCAGCACAGCCGTGGGTGCTACCACCAGTGGGGGTGCCACCGAAGCAGGTGGGCCCGGTTTGGCAACAGAAACTTGCTACAGGACAAAGATGAACAAAGTCAGCAATGCAATCCAAGGCTGCATTAACAGAGGGATAGAATCCAGATCAGGTGAAGTGTTAATACCACTTATGTTAATATCATGTATTCCAATATCTCAGGGGCTGCAACAAAGAAGAGGGACTCAAGCTATTCTCCAAAGCAACTGAAGCCAGAAGAAGTAATGGGTGGAAACTAATCAAGGAGAGAAGCAACCTAGAACTAAGGAGACATTTCCTGACAGTGAGAACAATTAATCAGTGGAACAATTTGCCTCCAGAAGTTGTAAATGCTCCAACACTGGAAGTTTTTAAAAAGAGACTGGGCAACCTGTCTGAAATGATATAGGGTTTTCTGCCTCAGCAGGGGTTAGACTATAAGACCTCCAAGGTCCCTTCCAACTCTGTTATTCTGTATTCAGAAAGAGATGGAGCCTATAACTGTGGATAGGTGGAATAGATTTTATTTTGGATCTCGTTTGCATTAGCCTCTATTCCAGTGTTCCTGTCCTTGGCAACTTTGGGCTTCAACTCCTAGAATTTCCCAGCCAGCAAATGCTGGGAGTTGAAGTCCACATGTCTTAAAGTTTCCAAGGTTGAGAAACCGTGTTCTATTCCAGAGGTCTCCAACCTTGGCAACTTTAAAACTTATGTGAACTGAAGAAGCTTCTTGGCTGAGAAGTGAAATGTTTTCAAATACTAAAATAAACAAAAATCAAGAAAGTCCAATTGCTTTTTGGAAAAAGCACCTCTGGGACAACCATGACCAGGATGATCGAGAATATCTATAGATAACAGCTGGGCTGTTTCAAAAACTATAAAGGGCTGGGCATCACCTGTGCTAGAAAGGGGTTGAGTTTGCAATGATGATGGTACCTCGTTGGGTAATGAAACGTCTGCAAAAAAAACAGCCAAGCTCAAAGAGCATTGAGGACACCCCTCAAATTCTCCACATCTTGAGGGGGAGGAGCTGATGTCACGGCCGAGACAACGTGAATCTCTAGGAACTCCTAGGGAGGACGTCGATATCCTGAAAGCCAGTGGTCCTTTGGACCTAAATCATCTTGAGAGACGATGATCGAGGAGAGGACACTCTGCTGATCCCAGGGATACCGCAATATCCCTGATAGATCAAGAGATAGCTTCTCTAGCCGACTTGAAAGCGGTCACCGAACCGCTACAAAGCTGGGGCAGTCTCCGGTAGAAAGAAGAAAAGAGGAAGTGTGATAGAATTAGGTGAGAACTTTCAAACTTTTTGAATAACAAAGAGCCCCCTGAAAAGGAAAGGGTGAAGAGAAAGCCAGAACTAAAGGGTGGGTGGTATTTAAACCCCCCCCCCCCCCAGAAGAAAGTGGCGGGGAAAGCTGTTTCTGGCGTGAATAGAAAGAGGAAGCCATTAATTATTGAACAAAGAATAAGAACTCTTTACAATTATCTTTGAAACTGGACTGGATTAACTAAAACTAATGAACTAAGGTGACCAAGAAAAGAAATTGGACTATTTTACTGTTGAACTGTTACTTTTCCCTGATTTTTAAAACTTTTTTTACTTTTAAAAGACTCAAGACAATTCTAACACTTAAAGTTAAAGGGAAAGCAGTGCAACAGTGCCACCTACTGGGGGGGGGGAAATTGAGAGAATGGATTAGATCAGTGGTTCCCAAACTTTTTCAGTCCACCGACCCCTTGGTGCTACAAGTTCATCCTCGGTGCCCACCATCCAGGGGTGGGATTCAAATTTCTGTGGGTGTGGCCTAATTTGAGGGTGTGGCTTGCTGATCATGTGACTGGGTGGGCGTGGCTTGCTGGTCACATGACTGGGTGGGCATGGCTTGCTGGCTGGGTGTGACTTGCTGGTCATGTGACCTGGTAGCTGTGGTTTGGTGGTCATGTGACTAGGTGGGCGTAGCCAGGTGACTGGCAAACCAAATACAAGTGGTCCTCACTTAATGGCCAGTTGTTTAGCAAGTGTTCTAATTTATGACTGGCCTCCCCAGAGCTACTTGACCTGTTTTTGGAGTTTTGACCACCACACACACACATATACACACACTCCCTTCTAACCCTGCTGGAGCAGGTCATTGGACTAGAATCGGCAAAGCATCTCTGATTAGATTCTAGTAGTGGATTGACCTTGAGGGAGAAGACTAAACAAAGATACAACTATCTACTGGAATAGAGGATTGCACTGAGAATTTATATTGGAAACAGTGTAATCCTTGGACACTAAAAGAAACAAAGAAGACACAAAGAAATAGAAACGAGAACTCCTTTCACTGAACTGCTTATTTTTTCATTCTACCTTTTTTTTCCCGTCTAAGCTGTTTGGATAGAGTGGCAAACTGCACTGTAGAAGATAGTAAGGAGAAATCGTGAGACTGTACATTGAAAGGTGGTGACATAAAGAATTTACAGCTGGATTTTATCATTCCTTCCTAGTGGATATTATTAAAGATTTTTTTTCTTTTTTTCCCTTTTTCCATTTCATATTTTTTTCCCATTCCATTTTTTTTCATTTTTCTTTTTTCATCTTTTTTTTCATTTTCCTTTTTTTCTCTTCTATGGATATTGGCGTTTTTCCTTAAATCGGATTGTATTACTTTTTCTCCCTTTTTTTAATATTATTGGTGGAATTAATTTTTGCACTTAATTTTTTCTTCTTTTTATGTCTGTTTCACCCTTGTTTCTGGGGCTCCCTCATTTTCACTGAGCTCTTTTGGTGATGTTCTTTTTCTTCTCTCTACCTTTTCGTTGGATTACAACATAGTGGATTAAGGCAGTGGTCGCCAACCAGCGGGCCACAGCCCACTGGTGGTCCATGAGAAAATTTTGGTGGTCCACAGAGAAATGTCCCCCAAAGCACCCCACCCCAAAAAAGCAATTAATCCAGGCTGTGCGGAAACAGAAGGCTGCGCTGCCCACATGGCCTGCCCACTGCTGGCCTCCACCCTTTGCAAATCTTACCTGCAGTAGAGCCACGCAAGCTGGAACTGGAAGGTAAGACCAAAGCCGGGGGAGGGAAATCCGTCCCGGGGTGGCTTGCTGATGTTGGTGGCAAAGTCGGTCCCATATTCCAGAGCTGCAGTAGTCAGGACTGGCCTTTTGATCACCTCAGAGCAGCTCTTCCACCTGGGTGCACCCGCCTGCCATTGAGGAGCTGCTCCAGGATGACCAAAGGGCCAGTCCTGACTACAGCAGCTCTGGAATATGGGACCAGCCCGTGGTGGAACTGGAAATCTCCATGGAGGGTGGCATGTGAAATGTGTAAATTTGCAGGTGGTGCAATGTGCAAAACAGAGCACAACCCTCACTTGCCGGAACGAGTAATGGTGCTGTTGCGGGGGCGCAGTGCAAATGGGCCGAAGCGGCAGTGGCGAAGGCAGAATGCTAATGCCACGCAAATGTGAGTAGCATTTGTTCTCCAATCTTCAGGTTAGAGGAGCAACATTCAAATGTGGCTGGCAGCAGCCCCCTGCAGCTTCTTCGCTGCCTTTGGAGCCAATTTCGAAAGCTGGGAAAGGACTAGAGGGGGGCGGGGCTCACTGGCCTTCAAATTGGTTCCCAGCCGGCCTGGGGCAGCATTCAAACAAGGAGAGTGGAGGAGGGGGAGGCTTATAATGAAAACCATAGTGCTTCACTCTGAAGCCTTCTTCCTCAAAGTTAGCCCACCGTCTCTCCGTCAGGAGTTCGGAGCTAAAACTCCACCTCTAAGGGTAAAGGGAGCTCTCCCTCGCCTCCCTCCCACTTCTATTTCAAATGTGGCTGGCAGAAGGCGCCTGCGCCTCTACAGCTTCCTTGCTGCCTTTGGAGACAATTTAGAAGGCTGAGAGAGGACTAGAGGGAGGGCAGGGCTCACTGGCCTCCAAATTGGTTCCCAAAATCATGACTATAAGCCTCCCCCTCCTCCACTCCCCTCGTTTGAAGCCTCCAAAGCAGTGGTGAAATTTGACCACCTCGCACCAGGTGGTAGGGAGGGTTCAGATCACCAAACTGAACAGTCACCCCTGGTTGGCCCTGCCCACAGCCGCCTGGTCGCACCCATGTCGGCACTAGGGGTGGTACCGGTGGTGGGAGAGAGAGAGAAAACAAAGCAAAAAGCCCTGCAAAGTTGACACCCCGACGTGCCAAAGGTCGCAATCCAGGAGAGAAAAGCCTCTAGCCGCCCTTTTCCCTAGCAGCCCTTCTCTAACCTGGGGATCTTCAGGATTTGGGGAGGGGGATGAGGGGTGCGTGTGAAGGACTGCAACTTTTGACCAACTTTCCTCCAAGAGTTTCTCCCTTCCCTTCCACAACTCCGCGGCATGAGTCGGCCACTTCTGCAAGTGCCAGTGGAATCTCCACACGGGGCCAGTTCCTTAGGAATTTCCCCCTCTCCTCTTCACTCCCCAGATGGCCAAGGAGGGGCTCAAAACAACCTGGAGCTTTTCCTGCCTTATTTTGCTCTCTCAGCTTACCTTCCGCAGCAAAGTCAAGATGACCAACCATGTCAGATTCCCACCACCTTTCCCCCCCCCCCACACTCCCAGGGACAGAGAGAGAGAGAGAGAGAGAGAGACAAGAGAGAAAGAGAGAAAGAGAGAAAGAGAAGAGAGACAAGAAAGCAAGAGAGAGAAATGAGAGAGAGAACAAGGACAAAGAAGTGATATCAACATGGCCACGCCCACCCAAGTCATATGACCACCAAACCATTTTATATTAAAAATTATATTA